TTCATGATTTTACTTTCTGTTTTATAGCCCAATACATTTGATGCTATTATTATTATACAGAAATAATAACTTGTTTTATATTTTAATTAAATTTAATATTTTAATTAAATATATTTTAATAAATTTATAATATTTGGCTGGTTTAAATAACAAAAAATTGTTGTCTCACAGATTTGGTGCTAGCGATAACAAACCCACCTTCCAATGCAGGAGACATAACAGACATGGGTTGGATCCCTGGGTCAAGAAGATCCACAGGAGAAGGGCATAGCAAACCACTCCAGTATTCGTGCCTAGAGAATCCCATGGACAGAGGAGTCTGGCAAGCTGTGGTCCATAGGGCTGCAAAAAGTCGACATGACTGAAGTGACTTAGCACACGGTTTTGAAAGCAAGATATCCAAAATCAAAGTGTCATTAGGGTTGTCAATAGCTCTTTCGTTTTGAGAGCTCTTAAAGCAAAGATCCGTTCTAACCTCTCTCCTTGGCTTTCAGATGGCGTCTTCATGTTCACATGGCTCTTTTATTTCATTTTACCCAAACCACTTTTTCATCACTATACTTTCATACATCTTAGACCATTCTTCTGAAATAATTATTTTTCCTTCCTGAAATATATAATTTAAATATTTATATAATGGAGAATTATTTGTGGATAACACTAACTGTTGTTTGTTAGATATAGCACTATTTTACTCATTATTAATAAATAGTTTTGCTACATAAGCAAATTTAGGTTGATGTCTATTTTTCCTTTTCATTCAATCTCTGGCTTCCATTAGTGTCAAAAAATCTGAAATTAATCTGTTGGTCTATCATTTCATTTTTAGTGCTGCTTTTATGTTCTTTCTTTTCTGTTTCTTTTTATCAATAGTCTCTTACAATTTTATCATAACTTACTTATATTGTTTCACATATATTATGGGTCCTGATTCTACAAATTTATCTCTGATTAGTTTTATTCAGTACTATTAAAACCTTAATATTATCACAAATTTTCCAAATGGAAAGGATTTTTCCCTCAAGGAGGATGAGTCTTACTGATTCTAGGTAAAAGGAAATCTATGTGGCATTTAAAAATTCATTTATGTAAAAATAATAAAAATCATTTTGGGGAGAACAAAGATGATTTTATATTAGAATTTTTTTTTCCTCCCTCATTTTTTTAAACTAAAAATTGCTGAACTTTCTCTGAAGTTTATATAGGTGCTAAGTCATCTTACATAGATAGCCAGGTAAAGGAAAAAAAAAGATGTTAAAAAACGAAAAGAGATGCATCAATATATGATATTTGTTTTTCTTTTTCTGACTAGCTTCACTCTGTGTGACAAACTATAAGCTCATCCACATCACTACAAATGATCCAATTTCATTCCTTTTATGTGGTTGAGTAATACTCCAATTCTATGTATGTCAACATCTTCATTCATTGGTTGATGGGCATTTAGTTTGCTTCCATGTCCTAGCTTATGCAAATAGTGCTGCAGTAAACACTGGGGTACATGTATCTTTTTGAACTATGGTTTTCTCAGGGTATATGCTCAGTAGTGGGATTACTGATGAACCTATTTGCAGGGAAGTATGTAGAGAATGGGATTGTGGGCACAGTGGGAAAAGGGGAGGGTGGGAAGAATTGAGAGAATAGCACTGACATATATACACGACCATGTATAAAACAGATAGCTAGTGGGGAGCTGCTCTATATAGCACATGGAGCTCAGTGCTCTGAGATGACCTAGAACAATGGTATGTGCGGGTAGGAGGGGATTCAAGAGGGGTAGGATATATGTATATATATAGCTGATTCACTTTGTCGTACAGTGGAAACTAATACAATATTGTAATGCAATTATACTCCAATAGCGCAACAAATAAATGAAAAACAACAACAACAAAGAGATGGTTTTTCTTTCTATGAGCATACACAGGGTTCTTCACTATTTTTCATTTATTAAATCTAACTTGATTTTTTTTTCCTCTCTTGGAAAAAAAGTTGTGATAACATGCTATATTGATGTTATAGGAAAAAGCATTTTAAATTTTAAAATACTCAGATTTGCAGCTCAGATTTCATCTTGAAAATAACAGCGTGCATGTGTACTCGGTCACTTCAGTCGTGTTTGACTCTTTGTGACCCTGCGGACTGTAGCCTGCCAGGCTCCTCCATCCATGTGATTCTTCAAGGAAGAATACTGGAGTAGGTTGTCATGACCTCTTCCAGGGGATTTTCCCAACCCAGGGATTGAACATGCATCTCCTGCATTGCAGGCAGATTCTTTACTCGCTGAGCCAAGTATTTTAAATATTAAATTAGTTATAGATTTGCTGCTCAAATTTCATTTTGAAAATAATATCTCCATTTAAAATTATTTTCTTAAAAGTTCTAATACCAGTTTTTCATTCACTTATTCTACAAGTATGTATTAAGCTAATAATGTAGGTCATTAATCTACCCCTCTTTTGAATTTTTCTTGACATCTACTGAAGAAATGAGCCAAAAATATAATGAGAATAACTTTAAATTAGGGGAGGAAAGGAAATGATAGTTGGATTTTTTTTAAGTATTATTTAAAAATGTATAATGGGGGAAATAGTTGTAAACCCATATATAATGGTGTACTACAGTTTTAAGCTCTCATTTACTTAGATTTTTTCAGAAGAGGTAGGATAAATAGAATTCAGTGCCATCCTTGAAATATTGGTCTCATAGTTGTAAATTACTGCAACAAAGTTAACCCTTATCCACAGTCATTTTGGCTGCTGCTTATAGGTTCATGTCCTGCTGCATCCCTATTGTACTCAGTTTAGAAATAACTCAGCTTCCTACTGCAAATCCTTTATAATGAGGACAATTTTAATCCTAAATTTCCATTGTAAGCTATTCTTATAAAGAATCCGTTTCATTGATAATATTTTAGTTGATCTTCTTTAAAAGTAACACTTCATCTTTTGAGCTTTGCTATTTTGAAGGATTACTCTAAGCAATGATTTTTAATCTATTTTTTCATTAAAATTATAAACAATCATTGAATATGTTTAAAACCCCTACATATTAATTGTTTAAGTTAAATTTAATGACAAAATATATTAACTAGGCAAATAGTGTAAAAAATATTTAATACACTTTAGTGTTCATTCAGGACACCAGAGTTTAACTCAGAAATTAATGTATTTATTCTGCTAATGTTTAATGAAGGGATGTGGCTATGAATTACAAATGATAATCAAAATTAGTTTTGTTCATCATTTGTTTTAAAATAAGGATCTATAGAGCCAGAAAGTTAATTTTTTTAAAAATCCTATGCTTTCTTGAAGTTTACCATCTAAGTAACTAACACTAAATTAAGCAAATTTGAACTAGGCAAAGATATTTTATAGAAAAGAAACTCCTTGACTTAGTTAAATGAAAGGAACAAATTCTCACTTCCAAATATAAGTTTTGGAGTTAAGACAACTCAACTTGAAATGCCTTTGGGCCAGTTTTCTCATTTTTTTAAGTTCCCACCTCTCTTCTCCCTAACTCCTCCTACTTCCCCCAACGTTTATCTTGTGTTATGTGTTTATGATATCCCAACCACAGCCCCTGGCACATACCTCAGCTACTTCCAAAGATTTCACTGACCTCCCCTGCCACACACATTTTCCTTTGAGATCAGAATAATTTAGAGACTGAGAAACCGAGTAGTGAGTTAAAAATAGGTGAAAGAGAATCAGTGTCACCCCGGGCTAATTTTACTTTGCTTCTATGTGGTGGGAAAATTGGGGATAATTACTTTTTGTTATAATTTCTTTTCTTGTCTTCTTTCCAAAAATCAAGGCTTCAAGCAAATACTTGCATTCAAGTGAGAGAATTTCTAGAAGTTCAGGTCTATCATTTCACTCAGGCAGTAACACTTGACTTGGAATAAGAGATCCACTAGAACCTGTGGATTCAATTGCTTCGTATGATAAATTAGAGTAGTAAAACCTAAATCACAAGGTCATTAGGAGGATTAAATTAGAAAATATCTACAAAATGCCAAGCAAGCAATACAAGACGTGCCAGCAATTATTAATGTATATTAATTAGAAGTATGTGGATAGATCATACTTATTTATAGAAGTGGTCTTGAAACTTTATCTTCATATTTTTTGAACACATTTTAAAAGCCAAACTAGAATCATTCATTTTATTTCTAGAACTTTTACTCTTTTTAGTAGAAGAAAACTATTAATAGAAGAGTTTTATTGAAATATACAAAATATACATATTTTATACATGAAATTCACAACACTATGTATGATCCTTCCTTATGTAGCATTTTTTCTTTTTTACAAAGTCAAAAACCTTTATTTTTGCTCCCTTCAGCAGCACATGAGAAGTAGCAGTGACCTCAGCAGTAGGCCTGGCATCTTTGCTCTATTGAGAAGCCAGAATCTCATCTCTACCTCTAGCTGTTTCCTCAGACGGCAAAAGGAAGAGGTGGTGGCCAACCGCAGTGCTGTAACCCGGAGGATGTCGGGGTCAACCTGGCAAGGTTGCTAGCTGCCTGATCTCCAGTCTGAGGCTGGAACTTCTGTTTGCCTGAGTAAAGAGACATCAGTCCTAGGATTTCTCCACATTGTGCCTTGCTTCTGCAACGGCCAGGAGACTGGTCCTTGAGCTGTCCCTGCATGGTACCCTGGGGCAGGCCCACTGGCTCGTTTGGCTCAAGGATCCCAAGAAGCTATCCTTGGAGGCCCTTGAGGTAATGCAGGAAGCAGGGTGGTGCTCAAGTTGAGGCTGACACACTCCAGCTCACACGCTCACATTGCCATCACAGAGGCTGAGTGAACAGTCACCCAGGGCGGGGGATTCCAGCTCATTCTGTTCCCGTGGGGCAAGTGGCTGGAAGGTAACAACACCCGAGTAAGCCAGTGCCTTCCTGTGTCCACTCCCAGGAATACCTTCCAGTTGTCCAAGCAGCCATAGTTGTAATGATTCCTAAAAACTCTGCCCTTGGCCTGCAGCCACTGACGCTCCTACTTGCTGATGTGCCTTGTTGAGATGCCAGTCTCACCTCGACTGATGAGCACGGCCTGCCATAGAGTTAGGGCAGCCAGGGCAAGTGCCACAGAACTGCACAGGAACCAGAGGCAGGCAAGACTCTTGGGAGTCACTCCCTCGGAAGGAGAAAGTGGGTGGTGGGGTCTGGTGGCAAGTCTTGATGGCAGCATAAGCCTCCTGGAAAAGGTCCCAGCTTCCATAGCTATTGCAGATGCTGCAGTGATGTGTTCGGGCTGGCATGAGGTTAATGCACTTCTTACAGATAAAGACTGTTGTCGTATCATTCCTGCCCTGGGGTGGGCATCCAGGTGGGCTGGTGATAACCTGGTAGTCATGGAAGACGATGAGAATCAGATTCCAGTGACTATAGAAGAAAGGCCAGCAGAGCTGGGGCATGCAGTAGGTTTGGAGGATGCGGGGCAGGACACACAGGTAGGCGATGGCCACGATGGAGCCGGTCAGCACAGTCACCAGCCCCGCGAACACCACCCCATACCAGGGCATCACGTTGCCCACAAGCCAGTAGACAGGCTCAAAGACAGCGTCCAAACCCTGTCCCCCAGGAGCAGAAGCAGGTGCAGGCAGAGGCAGGCAGTTCCCAGCCACAGGCTCCTCTGGCCCTGCGTGGCTCCTAGGAACACACAGCACCATGAGGGGCCAGCCTGGGTCCTGTCCCTCCCTGCCCCACAAGTGGGAAGCTTAGAGGCAGAGGCTTAAGGCTGAGGCCCACTGGGCCAGTCACCAGCTGTGGGAAAATAGGGAGGCAGCTCCAAACTTAAGCAGGGTCTCTGGAATTGTCCGTGTGGACAGACCACTGGGTGGAGGCCGACCAATGTGCACAAAGCTATCCACCTGGCCCTGTGGGCCCAGCCACCGTAGCAGAGGTGTCGGGGGTCTCCTGCCTGCCCTGTGCTGGGCTTAGTTGCTCAGTTGTGTCTGACTCTTTGCGACCCCAAGGACTGTAGCCTGCCAAGCTCCTTTGTCCATGGGGATTCTCCAGGCAAGAATACTGGAGTGGGTAGCCATGCTCTCTTCCAGGGAATCTTCCCAATCCAGGGATCGAACCCAGGTCTCCTGGATCATGGAAGTACTCAATAAATACTTGTTGAATGAACAAACTGGAGGGATGCTGAAGTGGAAAGGCTGGTCAGATGTCCATCTGTCCCGTTCGGTCTCTATCTTGAACTATCTTAGAGATACGGTACAAGTCAAATCCTATCCCTGGGGATGAATTTCCAAATCTGTGAAATGGGCGAGTCGGCTGGGGCTGACCTTCCAGCTTCATGCCTCAGGTCTGCCCAAAGGGTGCGCTCTGTGCGGTTTGAAGGCACGGCTGTGCAGAGCAGGAACTCGGGCTCACAAGACCTGGGAACAGGGCCTGACCCATGGCCTGCCACCCATAGGGCCAGCCTGCAGACCCGGACCCACCGCCCGCCCATTGCTGTAGCATGTTTTATCACATGACTATCTGTGTTGGCTCAGACAGTAAAAAATCTGCCTGCAGTGTGGGAGACCTGGGTTCATTCCTCGGTTGGGAAGATCTCCTGAACGAGGGCATGGCAATGCATTCCAGTATTCTTGCCTAGAGAATCCATGGACAGAGGAGCCTGGTGGGCAACAGTCCATGGGGTCACAAAGAGTCGGACATGACTGAGTGACTAAGCACAGCACACATCCATGTTTGAAGATGTATTAGTAGTTTTATAATTTGTATCAACTAGGAACTGCATAGTAATAAGTGGTAATGCTTATTGAATTCTTGCTATGATTATTCAAAATGCTCTATATGTACTCTGTAATTTAAATGATAATCCTATGTATAGAGATATAGAGGAAAAGAAACAAAAACAAATTTAAAATGCACATTATCAAGAGCTATAAAATAGAGGTGAGAAGACAAAAGTAAACAGTAGACTTTAGAGTCAGTATCCCTTTATAAGGCTGTTTGCAAAGACAGGCACAATAAAGGACAGAAATGGTATGGCCCTAACAGAAGCAGAAGATATTAGAAAGAGGTGGCAAGAATAGACAGAAGAACTATACAAAAAATATCTTAATGACCCAGATAACCACGATGGTGTGATCACACACCTAGAGCCAGGCATCCTGGAATGCAAATTCAAGTGGGCCTTAGGGAGCATCACTACAAACAAAGCTAGTGGAGGTGATGGAATTCCAGTTGAGCTATTTCAAATCCTAAAAAATGTTGTGAATGTGCTGCACTCAATATGCCAGCAAATTTGGAAAACTCAGCAGTGGCCATAGGACTGGAAAAGGTCAGTTTTCATTCTGACCCCAAAGAAAAGGCAATGCCAAAGAATGCTCAAACTACCGCACAATTGCACTCATCTCACATGCTAGTAAAGTAATGCTCAAAATTCTCCAAGCCAGGCTTCAAAAGTATGTGAACCGTGAACTTCCAGATGTTCAAGCTGGATTTAGAAAAGGCAGAGGAACCAGAGTTCAAATTGCCAGCATCTGCTGGAATATCTAAAAAAGCGAGAGAGTTCCAGAAAACATCTACTTTTGCTTTATTGACTGCCAAAGACTTTGGCTGTGTGGATCACAACAAACTGTGGAAAATTCATAAAGAGATGGAAATACCAGAAGACCTGACTTGACTCCTGAGAAACCTGTATGCAGGTCAAGAAGCAACAGTTAGAACTGGACATGGAACAATAGACTGGTTCAAAATCGGGAAAGGAGTACGTCAAGGCTGTATATTGTCACCCTGCTTATTTAACTTATATGCAGAGTACATCAAGAGAAAGCGCTTATGGCAGAAACTGAAGAAGAAATAAAGAGCCTCTTTATGAAAGTGAAAGAAGAGAGTAAAATAGAGTTGTGTCGTACTCTTTGTGACCCCATGGACTGCAGCGCATCAGGCTTCCCTGTCAACCAACTCCCAGAGCTTGCTTAAACTCATGTCCATCAAGTCAGTGATGATATCCAGCCATCTCATCCTCTGTCATCCCATTCTCCTCCTGCCTGCAATCTTTCCCAGCATCAGGGTCTTTTCAAATGAGTCAGTTCTTCGCATCAGATGAACAGAGTATTGGAGTTTCAGCTTCAGCATCAGCCCTTCCAATGAATATGCAGGACTGATTTCCCTTAGGATGGACTGGTTGGATCTCTTTGCAGTCCAAGGGACTCTCAAGAGTCTTCTCCAACACTGCAGTTCAAAAGCATCAATTCTTCCATGCTCAGCTTTTTAACAGTCCAACTCTCACATCCATACATGACTACTGGAAAAACCATAGCTTTGCCGAGATGGTCCTTTGTTGGCAAAGTAATGCCTCTGCTTTTTAATCTGCTATCTATGTTGGTCATAGCTTTTCTTCTGAGGAGCAAGCATCTTTTAATTTCATGGCTGCAGTCACAATACACAGTGATTTTGGAGCCCCCCAAAATAGTCTCTCACTGTTTCCATTTTTTCTCCATCTATTTGCCATGAAGTGATGGGAACAGGTGCCATGATCTTAGTTTTCTGAATGTTGAATTTTAAGCCAACTTTTTTTCCATTTATTTTTATTAGTTGGAGGCTAATTACTTTATAATATTGTAGTGGTTTTTGTCATACATTGACATGAATCAGCCATGGATTTACATGTATTCCCCATCCCGATACCCTCTCCCATCTCCCTCTCCACCCGATCCCTCTGGGTCTTCCCAGTGCACCAGGCCCCAGCATTTGTCTCATGCACCCAACCTGGGCTGGTGGTCTGTTTCAGCCTAGATAATACACATGTTTCGAAGCTGTTCTCTCAAAACATCCCACCCTTGCCTTCTCCCACGGAGTCCAAAAGTCTGTTCTGTACATCTGTGTCTCTTTTTCTGTTTTGCATATAGGGTTATCATTACCATCTTTCTAAATTTCATATATATGTGTTAATATACTGTATTGGTCTTTATCTTTCTGGCTTACTTCACTCTGTGTAATGGGCTCCAGTTTCATTCATCTCATTAGAACTGATTCAAATGAATTCTTTTTAATGGCTGAGTAATATTCCATGGTGTATATGTACCACAGCTTCCTTATCCATTCATCTGCTGATGGGCATCTAGGTTGCTTCCATATCCTGGCTATTATAAACAGTGCTGCGATGAACATTGGGGTGCACGTGTCTCTTTCAGATCTGGTTTCCTCGGTGCATATGCCCAGAAGTGGGATTGCTGGGTCATATGGCAGTTCTATTTCCAGTTTTTTAAGAAATCTCCACACTGTTCTCCATAGCGTTAAGCCAACTTTTTCACTGTGCTCTTTCAGTTTCATCAAGAGGCTCTTTAGTTCTTCGATTTCTGCCATGAGGATGATGTGATCTGCATATCTGAGGTTATTGATCTTTCTCCTGGCAGTCTTGATTCCAGCTTGTGCTTAATCCAGCCTGGCATTTTGCATGACGTACTCTGTATATAAGTTAAATAAGCAGGGTGACAATATACAGCCTTGATGTACTCCTTTCCTGATTTGGAACCAGTCTGCTGTTTCATGTTCAGTTCTAACTGTTGCTTCTTGAACTGCAAACAGATTTCCCTCCTCTTCAATGTTTTGGAAGAGTTTGAGAAGATTTGGTATTAATTTTCCTTTGAATGTTTGGTATTATTATTACCTGTGAAGCATATGACACTGAACTTTTTTTTTTTTATTGAGAGGCTTTTGATTACCGATTTCCTCTACCTACTCAAAATCAGTCTGCTAATAAGATTTTCTGTTTTGTGTTTATTCAGTCTTGGAAAATTGCAGGTTTCTAAGAATTAATTTATTTATTCTATGTTATCAAATTTTTCTATATAATGGCTCATTGCTGTTTTTCAGTTGTTCAGTCGTGTCTGACTCTTTGTGACCCCATGGACTGCAGCAAGCCAGGTTTTCTTTTCCTTCTCTGTCTCCTAGAGTTTACTCAAACTCATGTCCATTGGGTCGATGATACCATCTAGCCGTCTCATCCTCTATCATCCCCTTCTCCTCCTTCCCTTAATCTTCCCCAACATCAGGATCTTTCCCACTGAATCGGCTCTTTGCATCAGGTGGCCAAAGTATTGGAGCTTCAGCATCAGTCCTTCTAATGAATATTTAGGGTTGATTTCCTTTAGGATTGACTGGTTTGATCTTGCTGTCCAAGGGATTCTCAAGTCTTCTCCAGCACCACAGTTGGAAAGCATCAATTCTTTGGTGTTCAGCCTTCTTTATGATCCAACTCTCACTTCTGTACATAACTACTGGAAAAACCATAGCTTTAACTATACAGACCTTTGTTGGCAAATTGATGTCTCTATTTTTTTTAATAAGCTCTCTAGGTTGCTCATAGATTCCCTTCCAGGAG